CATGGCAGTGGTACATTTTCCGCCAGCTCTGGGAGTCATCAAGTCTCAGAAATAGTGGGTCTAAGCTTTTATCAAAGCAGCATGTAGCCCAGAAACCTTTTTTTTTTTTTTTAAATACTAGTAAAGACTAAATCTACCACACAGCTTAATGTGCCGCTGGCAGACGCCTCATTACCTCCATACTGTCGGTCAAACGCACACGCCAGGGACCCTCCAGTGTTCAAACCTGAGTTTTGAGGCGTCTAGCTGCCCGTATGAGACAAGAAGCAGGAACCTGGTTTTGGCTCTGTTTAGAATTGGTTATTAAATATTCTCAGGTTTAAGGTGGTAACTCGAGCCGTTGGGCGCCATTTGTTGCTGGAGAGCTTCTCTCCAGGTTCCCCAAGCCCCGCAGTCCCACAATCTAAGTATAAAATAATCACTCAGACGCTTATATTACTTATAAACTATATGGCCGTGGCAGGCTTCCTGCTAACTGTTCTTTTATCTTAAATTAACCCATTTCTATAAATCTATACCTTGCCACGTGGCTGGTGGCTTACCAGTGTCTTCACATGCTGCTTGTCCTGGCGGTGGCTGCAGTGTCTCTCCTCCTTCTTCCTGTTTCCCCAATTCTCCTCTCTCTTTGTCCCGCCTATACTTCCTGCCTGGTCACTGGCCATCAGTGTTTTATTTATATAGAGTGGTATCCACAGCACTTGATAACTGAGAGGTGGTTAGGATAGTCCCAAGTCAGATGATTCATGGTGACTACAGAAGACTAGGTCAGGGCTGGGCAAGTTGCTGGAAGCAGGTTCTTGGGTAGCAGAGGTCACTGACTGTCTCAGCTTGGTGAACCCTTCACAGTGAGTAGCAGTGGAGCGGATTTCAGCGTCTGGAAAGGTCCGGCTAAGCCATGGGCTTCATCGAGGTGTGGGGTTGCCCCCTTTCTTCAAGACTAGGCAGCTGTTGATTACTTCCTCGGTGTTCTGAGCTCCTCAGGCGCTCAAGTGGTTCCTAACCCTGGCGCTGAAATAGAAGCTGTTGGGATGCGGGTTTCCCAGGCACAGCATTTAGAACTGTCTGGGGTGGAGTCTCATGCAGCTGGGAGTGAGCACTGATGCTGATGCACTCAGTTTGCAGTCCCTTTGAGTAAAGGCTTTTACTGTACACTGCCCCAGTGCCTCCAACTGTGTGCCCGCTCGCCTGGGCATCCTGATAAGACAGCTGCAGGCCTGATGCCAAGTTGCAGATTCTGCATGTCCAGTGCTTAGGTGAGGTAATGCTGCTGGTCCCCAAAACACTCATGAGAGGCTTGAGCCTGTCAGTCCTGAGTGTAAAAACTAGCCTGTGTCTGATAAAGTCTTGCTCTCTGGCTGATTTTGCTTTGTGTACAAAAAACAACAACAAACAAAACAACAACAAAACCTCAAGTCCAGTGGCCTACTTTCCAATTCTAGCTTTGCCCTTAATTAATTGAAAAGCAGATTTCTTGAAAGTGCTTCATCCCTTCATCCTCTTGCCTCTAAAAGAGAGGGCTCGGCTGGGTGTGACGTATAGTGTCCTCACCTCTCATCCTCTCGTGATCCAGGGTTTGTTCAGGCTGTCTGCAGGGGGATTTTATGTGGAATGGTAGTCTGTGTTCTGCACTTAGAACACAGGCTTCCCCTGGGAACTAGTCCTCAGTTTATTATTATTTAAGGGAGTATTATCTAAACTAGCAGATGTTTAATAATAGTTGACATAATAGTTCAAATTAAGCTGTAAACCATGGTAAATATACAGAGTAGGTGGGGAAGAGTATTGACTGGAGCAGAAGATGTCACTGCAGAGGGGAGATTTGAGTTAGGCTTCAGGGTGCTGATTCTCAGGCTTTTACATTGACCTGTCTTTACAAAGGCATTCTTCAGCAGTTGGTGGTATCATTCTCAGGGTCTACTTAATTACATAATGGCGCTGGGTGGCTACTGGTTGGATTTTGTACAGAGAGAGAGAGAGAGAGAGAGAGAGAGAGAGAGAGAGAGAGAGAGAGAGAGAGAGAGAGAGAGAGAGAGAGAGAGAGAGAGAGATCCTTTACTCAATGACTTGGAAGAAAATTGGCTACTATTCCAAAAGCAGATGACTTAGTCATTTCATGTATCTGCTGTTTGAGCAAATATTAAATTTGGTAGCTTACCTAAACTTGTCCAAATGGGGTGATTTTGATGGTATAAGTTGGATGGCATATAGATGGAATTTAAAACAATTCCAACAGTTATTCTAATGCTTAATATTAATCAAGTAACTAAAAGTAATAATTTTAGATATTTGGTAGTTGACTTTCCAGTCAGGTGTGGTATTCAGCATACTTAATAACCTATGACAATGGCATTAGCTAACCAGAATAAATTGGATCCAGCCATTCAGAGTTGAATCATAAGCAGCAGGCTTCCAAGTGAGGGCTGGCAGGCTGTCAGCCCAACGTACTGTAAGATATGTTTAAGGTGCCACCAAATCTATCTTTATGTAATGTTTTTAAAACTTTAAATTTATTTTGGGGTGCTAAGGATCACACGTAATCCTGTGTGTGCTAGACAAATGGTTTAACACTGAGCTATATCCCTGTTTCTTAAGTCTCTTTAAAATGGTGATTGTGTTTTTCCTCTAGAGGTACCACAATAAAGTACTCCACAATAGATGAGTAGATGAAACCGGGAGAGAGCCTTGTATTCTCCCTTGTGCTGGAGGTTGGAGACCCGAAATCAAGGTGTTGGGCCGTACTCCCTCTACAGGCTCCTGCTCTGGAGGAGAACCCGTCACCTCCGTGGGTTTGTGGGTGACAGCGGCCCTTGACAGCCCTTGGCTCCTGGTGGCGCTGCTCTGCTCTCCATTTCCGTGTGGCTTCCTCAGACCTCCCCGTGTCTGCTTCTGTCTCCAAGTGTCCCTCTTCTTATAAAAAGCATAAGCAAGCATTTTTTCTTTAATTATTATTACCTAGATTCTGTTAAAATGTGAACGCTAGTGACAGTGTGGTGGGATTAATATTCCTTGGCATGCAAATATATCTCTGTGCACGGGGAGGTATTATATTCTTCCATATAAGTTTATGGAATTCAAGCAAGTTTTGCATGAAAATGGAATTGATTGTAGTTAGATGACTACACGGGGCTGTGTTTAGGGGTAGAAGAGCAGAAGGAAGCAGAAAGAAAACAGTGGGGCAGGAGAGCTGGCTCAGTGGTCGAGAGCAGCCGCAGCTCAGTCATGGGGACTGGGGCTTGGATCCCAGCCTGCATCAGACAGCTCACCAACCTGAGGAACTCCAGCTCCGAGGAACCCCCACACACCGTGTGCGTACACTCCCGAGACATGTCTTCCCAGACATGGACACGCAGAAATAAAGTACTTTCAAAAGAAGAAACAAACCAGTGGATGGTCGAGAACTCTTTCTTGTAATCTGTATGTGAAAATGGCGTGGTTGTTTTCAGCTCTCTGAAGAGCAGTTCTGTGGGAAAGGTCTTTGACTCCTGAAGACAGAACTAGAACCACGGAGCTAAGGGGAACAGTGCAGTGTGAGACAAAACTTCCTCAAGTTGTAGTGCAGGGAATGTTGGGAGCCGCCATGAGGAAGTGGGAAATGCAGTATCAAGGATGCACAGTGTACATTGGGTCAGTCTTTATCCGTATCATCTCATCTCATTTAGTGTGGCCAGTTTCTCTTTGCATCGCTTAGACTTAAGTGAAATGGTAGTTCTTTAAGTGATGAATTCTTGAATTAATTTGCATTTTTAATGATTCTTTGTTGCTGGAACACAGGAATGTTCTGATGGCTACATGTGCAAAACACAGTTTCAAATAAAAAATGGGACTACGACATCACATCTGGGAACACCTGCCAGTGTACAAATGTGTCTTCCAACAGAGGTGAGTAGTTGAGTGTGCCATGGTCTCCTTTGCAGTCTACATGAAGTATAAATTAAAAACTCTCAGTCTGTTTTATGTATGTTTATATTTTAAAAAATTAATAGCCCTTGGATCCTGGGACTGTTGGTGGCAGATGTGTGTACTTCTTCTCTGAAGGGTTATTTTCTTTATAGCAATGAAAACAGGAATTGTGGTATCCACTGTGAGTCCTTTCGGTTCTAGTGACCTGTCACACTTTCCTTTGGACCTGAAGACACATAATAGCATCTCTTGCCTTAATTTTTATCTAATGACACCTCAGCCTGTACAGGCCTGTCTCTGTGTCTAGTCTACCTTTGACCCCCCCCTTTTTTTTAGCCATTTGGAACTTTGTAGAAACTGAGTCTCATTATTTAGGATATTTTGATTCACTTGAGAAATTTACAAAATTAAATATTATTAAAATGCTGAGTTCTTAGTGGCTTTCTGGATATTTTCAGTTTTCTTTTTTTAAATCAAAATGCGAATAGCCTTAAATCTTTGTTTCTTTCTTTGTTTCTTTGTTTCTTTCTTTTATTTTATTTTATTAATTTTTTTTCAAGACAGAGTTTCTCTACATAACAGCTGTGGCTGTCCTAAAACTCACTCTGTAGACCAGGCTGACCTCGAACTCACAGAGATCCACCTGTCTCTGCCTCCTGAGTGCTGGGATTAACGGTGTGCACCACCACCACCTGGCAATGTTTCTTATACCTAAGAAAAGTTGTAGATATCCATTCTAAAAAAATGAACAATAGGGAAGTATATAAAAGTGAAATAATTCTCTCTTACACCTCTAGGTGGGTAATCACTATTAATATTTTGGAAAATATTACATATTTTCCTTAGGTTTCTGCTATATATGTATTTTGGTACCAAGGAAGAATATCATGAACATCTCCATGTCAGTAAATGCAGAGTCTATAGTTCTCTTTGGTGGCTGCATGGCATTCCATTTGATGGCTATGCCATATTATATACTCTTACTTCAGGAAGCATTTGAATTTAAACAGATGGAAGATGATTGATGGAGACCTAATTGCTTCAGAGCAAAAAACCAAAAATGTTTAAATTCTGAGCCTCTTAGTAAAGAGAGAGGAGATGCTGTATACATGTGTCTGTGTGTGTATGTGTTCTCTGGATGCATGTGTGCATGTCCGTTTCTGTCTGTGCATGTTCCTGTCTGTGTATAAGCTGTATGAACACATATTTCTGTCTCTCTGTGTGTACATGTTCCTTTTGGTATGTGTATGCATGTTCCCATGTATATGTATGTGTTCTTTTCTATGTGTTCATATTCCCATTTGTGTGTGCATGTGCGTGCTCCTGTCTGTATGTGCATGTGTGTAAATGTATATGGGTGTGCTTGCACATGTGTACCTGAATGCATATGGATGCTAGGTCCATGGATGGTGTTTTCCTCTTTTGCTCTCCACCTTATTTTTTTTTTTTCAGATAGGGTCTCTCACTGAACCTGGAGCTCACCAGTTCATCAAGCCTAGCTGGCCAGTGACATCCATGGTATCCTCTTTTCATATCCTTACTGCTAGGTTTACAGGCCCACGCCACCACACTCAGCTTTTACATGGCTGCTGCTGGTCTGAATGTAGGTCCTTGTGTGTGCTTGGGAAGCACTTTACCCACTACACGAGATCTTGTTTTAAACAAGAAAGCAAACAAACACACGAACAAATACAGAACACGGAAATAAAAAGATTATATATGTATATATGTATATATATACATACACACACATATATAGCCTAGATATTATTTTCCTTCTAATCAAGTAGTATTTTCTTACCCGTGGGTTTTTAAAGAAGTTTTTTCTATTTCTGCCCTTTCTCTTCCGGGGTTTTCTGTAACTGTGCTTCCTTTCTCTTTCGTACCTCATGAACTTGGATTCATTGTTTTGAAGTCAGACTGCTTCCATAGACTGTAAACCCATTCATATAGGGTTACATGATAAATATCTATACTCTAACTAGACTTTTGACTCTGGGTCCCACCAGAATCAACTTACTTCTGTATGTTGATATAAGCTGGGCAATCAAATTGATTGAATTCTAAAAGGGTTTTACTTTACATAGAATAGCAGTATTTTTTTCTGATAGCCGGTTTACATAGGAGAGTTACAAATGTCTGAAAAGAGAAACTTTGGTAAGGTCTCAGTAGTGTATGTTTGGAGGAGTTGGAGTGGAGTCTGGGACTAAGCCTGTTGCTTGCCAGTCAATGCTGGTGTTTGTTTTCAACTGTTTGGTAAGACATAGTAAGTTAGATTGCCTAGTGTGGATGAGAACTAGAAGAAAGCACTAGATTTGGAAGTTGTATTTGTAACTTTTTTTAGTCGTGTTCTAGCAGTGTGAGCTTGTGTAAACCTATCTTCTTACCTCAAGTATTTGTTCTTTTTTTGGGATACAATACCCAAAAGCGCTGTTATTAATCCTAACAGCATGTCACCTAACCATGCAGTGAAGAGCAGTAAGTGAATGGGGAAATGCAAAGTGAGCATGTTCCACTTCCTTCCTGTGCTGTCCTGCTGTCAAAGGTTGGGAAGACCCTCCAGGCCGAAAGAGACCATTTCTTCAGCTACAGGTAGCCCCCAGCATCTCACAGAGGTGTGTGGAGACCACTGGACATGACTCTAACCAGAAGTAGCAGTAGTCAGGACATCTCAAGGGTTGTAAGGACTGTGCGTACACTGCCATGCTTCCCTTGATAAGTACTAGACTGCTTGGGTCTTCCTTTGGATAGCTTTTTCCTTCAAGATTTATGCACAATTTCTATTTATTCAGTGGTATGATTATGGGTATGATGATGTACAGTTTGCTATTTTTCATTTTTAGATATCTCAGAATTAATATTTTATCTTAATAGCATGCATACATTTGTGACAGAGTAGAAAATATTATGACAATTTAAATGTATACTTAGGATAGATTGTAATTAGATGGGGAATATATTGTTTCTCTTAAAATACAGTGGACTGTTCATATTTTAACAATTTTTGAATTTCAGTATTTAAGCAAATTTCATGATGAGGATTGATTATGCTCATGATAGAAGAACTCCGGGGGTGTATAATCGTAGTTTGTGAAAATTACCAAATTTAGCTATAACTATACTTTCCGAATAGAATCTGTCTGTCATGAAAATTATGATGATTAATGATCTTTAAACAAGTATGTAAAACAAAACTTTCATCCTTCAGGCATCAAAAAATGCCTTGTGTGCAGAGGAAGAGAGCTCAGGGATGGGTCTAAGGCATTAGAATACACAGACTTAGGCAAAGTACACTCTAAAACTATGACACACAAATGGCTAAAATAATTGTATTTTTTGCTGTTAGTAGCTAATTGTGCCTGTAGATAGCTGAACAACCATGCCAAAGGAATGTGGATATGTGAATCGGTGGATTTCAAGCTGGAAGGAAGTTGTGGTGTTAGTATTTGTTTAGCCCCAATCAATATTTCTATCAGTGACTTTAACAAATTCCATTTAAACAAACATTTGTGTCAGTATTAATGTCTGTGTACTAAGATTTTAATCCTCATGAAGAAATACTCTCAGTGACCATTTATTGGTTTTCTATTATGTGCCAATTTCCTGTATTAGTTCTCTATTATGTTATAATCCTCACAAAACCTCTGTGGCAGAAGATAGTAAAGACAGATTTAAACATGAGTGAACCAGGCGGATGAAAGTGCAGTGTTGTACGTAAGGAAGACAGGGGATAATCTCACAGGGTTGGCACCGCTCTGAGTGCCTTGTGTACACGGCTTCATTTTGTCTTATTTGTGGTCCAGACACTTTTATTCCCGTCATTGTACACAGAAGGAGACGGAGACCCAGCTGTTAAGAAGCTTCCCCAGGGACAGAGGCAAGGCTGGATTAAGTTTGACTTCAGAACTCCTGCTCTTAACTACTGGAAAAGTAGTGGATACTGTTTTAGTAGACACAGGACCACCTGGGGGCTTGTTAAAACAAATTATCGTATAACAATTTATTCAAATTCATTGCTGAGCCCACTTCTACAATTTTGATGTAGTAGGTCTGAAGTTGGGCCTGAGAATGTGCAGTTCTAGTAAGTTCTGTGGTGGGGACCACACAGCGAGAACTACCATACCCGTCCTCTAGAGTGCTTAGTACCCAGGGGTCAGCCCATCACAGCGAGAACTACCCCACCCTAGAGTGCTTAGTACCCAGGGGTCAGCCCATCACAGCGAGAACTACCCCCCCCATAGAGTGCTTAGTACCCAGGGGTCAGCCCATCACAGCGAGAACTACCCCCCCCATAGAGTGCTTAGTACCCAGGGGTCAGCTCATCACAGCGAGAACTAGCACACACACACACCCATAGAGTGCTTAGTACACAGGGGTCAGCCCATCACAGCGAGAACTACCAC